CTTTCTTCTTCCTTCCTCTCTCTCTCCTCCTCTCTCTCTCTCTCTTCCCCTTTCTCTTCCTTTCTTCGTTATAACTTTTTCTTTTTTCGTCTTATATATTTTCTTAAATAAAAATTGGTAAATTTCTGCAATGTAATTAATAATAAAGTATGAATATTTAATACGAAATGATTAAATTAATACAAAAAATTTTTTAAATTTATTTTCAACAACAAGCAAATCAGAAAAGGTATATCATTAATTGTTTGTAATTGTTTGAAATAGAATAAAATTTGTTTTAAAAAACACATAATTCAAATAATTTCAAATAATTTAGCTGTCAAGTTTCATATTCATTGGCCAAGAAATGACCACTAATTTATTCACTATGGAAGTTAATCAAATAAAAGTGAAGGATCAGTTTATCAAGTTTAGGGGACTAATTATTATCAACTTAGATTTATCATTGTGATATTATATGTTTATTTATCATTCTTTTCATATAATTTAATCCCTAATTTTCGTTTTATTAATTAAAATTAGCTTTTATATCGAATTGGTGTTTTTCTTTTCTTTCTTTTTACTTTGATAACGACTCATTCCCGTTGGATTAATTACTTAATTACAAATATAATAACATTCATGTCAACTTCAATTCATTTCATTTATACGTACGTGATGGATTTCACGTTTTCATCACTGATAACATGTTAAATTAAATTAGCAAATCAATCATTTTGAGGGAAGGAAAGAGTATTTCACGTTGATATGCCAAAGTAAAATATACGTTCGAACGTTTGCATATGTTTCTTCTTTAGCAAATAATAATGTAAACAAACATTTCAGGTCACATTTCAGGTCATCAATCATTTCCATTCATTTCACATTAAATACCTTTAGTTATATCATTTCCTGCATGGCAGCAAAAGAATGCAACTTAATTGATGATGAAAAGAAAGAAAGGGAGAGAGAAAGAGAGAACGGGGAGGGAGAGAGGGAAGTGTGGTAAAATTATTGTTGAGAAAAGAATACATAAAAAGATAATTTCTCAGACGACGAATGGAATGTATTTGTTGACAGAAAAAGAGAGAGAGTACGGAGAATAGGTGTAATATAAACAAAATAAGAAGGAAAGGAGGAAGAGGAAAGAGAAAGAAGAATGGAGAGGAATAGATTTTTACTGATGAAAATTTCTAATTCTTCATTATTGGAACGAGACAGTGAGAGAAGAAGATGAAAAGAGAGGAAGAGGAACGGTTGGGATGAACAGAAAGAAATGAAATCGGCTGTTCGTCATCTTTACATATTTACAAAGGTAACATTAAGATTTGTTTCTATGATTGTTAGGAATTCTCTTTCTTTCTTCATTTTCTTTCGTCGTCTCTCCCTCCCTCTTTCTCTCTCTCTTTCTTCTCTATATTGTCAATAAAGTGTTGGGGAATTTCTCAGCTCCGATCAAAACTACCACACATACATACATACACACACACACACACACAGACACACACACACACACACATACACACATATATGCATACTATGCAAATGGCAAATGTACCCTTTCTAAAATTTTCGCATTTTCTTGACTTTTAAATATATATATATATATACAGTATACAGGTTTAGTTTGTATACTGTATGTATATACAGTATGCATATATGTATAGCATGTATATATAGCTTTTTATTGTTATGTTATCAAAATTTTCAAATAATAAATTAATTTTTCCTTGCTTTTACTTAACATTATTTTTCCATTTGTAATTGATTAAACTATTAATTTCAGGTTTTCCTTTTTTTATTTTAAATATTTTAGATCTTAGAATAAAGAATGAGAGTAATTAACTGAGAATGATTAAAAATTTTATTTTGACCTTGGAATGAGAAGAGAAGAGTAAAAAGACATAATAATAATAAGGAAAAAGAAAAATTAGAGAAAAGAATGAAATATTATAAAAATTTTGATTTTGAAGAAAAAATGGGAAGAGAGTATGGAAGAATTTAAAAAAAAGTGGAACAAATGAGAGATAATTTCAAAACTAGTCGTAATTAACAATATCTTTCTCTCTCTCACTCTCTCTCTCTCTCCCTGTCTTTCCCTCTCTCTTTTCCTTTTTCCTTGTTATAATATTATTTGGTGATGGAATTTTTGTTTGCAGCAAAAGAAAAACAAAAAAAAAAAANAAA